TGCCATGTACAATACTGTGAGAGGTTATTGGTTTAACTTAACTTTAACTGAGATCAATCAATCAAATTTAATCAAATTTGAATTGTATAGCCCACATTCACAAATCACAATTTGTCTCATAGGGCTTTAACAAGGTGCGACATCCTCTGCCCTTAACCCTCAACAATGTAGAAACCTCAGAGAGAGCCACGTGTGAGAGATCCCTCTCCCAGGATGGACAGAATTGGAAAAAAAATTACTATATTTAAGACACTGATTAGAAGAAATAGATTTTAACATAATAGAAAGGTGTGTTAATGTTAGTATTTATGTAAGTATTTATATAATTCTCAGCTGATATAGTCATCTTCATTGGTGCCCATTAAAAACCACCCCAACACAATACAGACGTAATAGGGTTTGTTGCTGTATGGAAATATCTTTCACTTTCATGATGCCATTCACAGTGACTGTTGATCATATGTCAAATGTCACAGCAGCCATTGTGGTGGCACTTCACCACAGCACAGGAGGTGATTCAGCTGAGGTCGGTACGTGGATTATTGCCACTGTAAACAATTTTTCACCCCACAAGCACTAAAGCCTCCTAAATAAGGGTGCATAGATGACTTGATGCTTGAGGTGGGTTTCCCTTCTAATCCTGTCCTCCACGTGCTAAATGCCACAGGGCTCCTTCCCTCTCCCCACCCAGCATCTGAAAATAGATCCTCACCATGGCTCTGATGTCATCTTAAGCACAGGAGAATATTGCAGCTTGTAGGAAAACAGTTCACCTCGCCGAATCTTTGAGCAGTGCAGAGTATGAAGTGCACTTCATGCTTTCAGTTGCCTTGGAAACCTGCCTGTCATCAAGAGGATCAAGCTTTTTTTAAATGTCTTTCTCTGTCTGTTTTGTGTGTGTGTGTGTGTGTGTGTGTGTGTGTGTGTGTGTATGTGTGCTTTGGACATAAAACTCATATAGTGTTCTGCCAAGGGTATCCTCTTCATGTTCCTCAGATATTACCATTGTTTAAACTGTCAGACATCAACTCTGTGTCCTAAAAATGTAATTTTCTATGTAATAAAATTACAGCAGCACACACACGTAGGAGATGCAAATGCAACAAGGTTAAATGTTTGATTAAAACAGTAATGATACTATCTGTTGTTCATTTACTTGGTGCAACTGACAAGTCTCAAAATAATTAATTTGCTGCCAAATTACCTGAAGCGACTAGTGACTGAAGCAAATTGAGTTGTGTTCATGTCAGGATTGGCTTGGTTGAGGTTAAGGAAAGATCCTGGTTTCAGTGTAAGATTTAGGTGAAAATGACCTATTGGCAGAAATTGAACATAAATCCTAGCGATGCAGTGAATAGTGTGTTTTATCTAAATTGTACAAATTGTTGTTTTTTTTACCCTAGAACGGGCTCTTTATATAAATACTTTATATCCACATCAGGAGAGGGTCCTCTCTATGGAGGCTGCCATGTTTTTTTACGGTGGCCCAACACCTTCTGAGTTTTTAGAGAACTGAAGGCTGTCACAGGTTCTCTTTCCTGTTTGGAAGTGTTGGATGATGTGAGGGATATTCAGCTGCAACATGTAACTTTACCAGTAGATGTCACTAAATTCTACACACTGAGCCTTTAAGAGATAAAGCACTTGTGACTCTACAATCATTCATAATCAAAATCGATCAACTGATCTCACACAGTGTCCATTTTGAATCTTGAAAACTCTTCAAGTGTGATCCTCGTATTAATCTTTGTTATATTCCAAAGACTTACACTTTTAAAGTGCAGGTAATCAGGTAGTGCTATCAATGTTCCGTTTTCTCAAATGGCAGCAATTGATAACCTTGTTTACTTTAGTACTTTTAGTAGTTTTAGTAGTCCCGGTAACAAAGGCTTTACATTTGTCTTGATTCGCAAACTCAAACTCATGTCATGCAGCTCAGAGAGAGATCGTATTATTTAAATGTTGACAAGTGGCTGAGAAGTCTCACCCTTTGTGTGACAGTGTTCAATTTAAATTTGGTATTTTACTGTGCCAACATTCAGCTAATCCAACTCGTGCATGTCTCGGTCCATCAGATGTTCTCTGGGTTTGATGTGATCTCTATACTTTCACTGTGTATATCTGGCTGTTTACTCAGCGAGTGTGACTTCCATGCAGGTTGGAGTCCTCTGTAATGAGACACACTTCGCTTCATGCTAACACCACCCACTCCGCTCTCCCTGTCCCTCTCACTGACAAGCTGTCTGGTTCAGGGAATGCTCCTGCGGGCTTCAACAAAGATAAATGATAATACAGGAGTAGCATCTCAATCGAAAGGTTTCAGACTGGGAAGAGGATTTATAGGTGGCTCATCCCGAAACGCGTTATGACTATGTAGAGGAGTTTTTTACTGTTGAGGTTATTTATGTTTTTCACTTTAAAGGGGGTTTCCAGCAGTCAGCTATATTAGTAGCCAGAACATGTCAAGTACGACAGAGCATTTAATTCCAATTTGTTCTTCATTTACACCCAAATAAACAAAACAAAAACTCTGTTCATTTTCTGCTTGTCTTCAGTGAAATTATATCTCAAAATCAACCTCCAAACACACAAACACAACAAATTGCACATGTTGCTGCTCAGCCCATCACTGTGGCTGTCTAATTATAGACCGAACATGTTGAAGCCCTCCAGGCTCTCCAAACACATAAAACGAGAGGCTTGGAGAAATAGTGGCCTCATCGTTTTTCACGCTGTCTCCATCAGGCAAACACACCACTCGCTCCTCTGCTCTCTCCAAGGGGAAGACAAGCTGCCATTTTGTCAGTCCACATGATGGTGACAGATTGATCAGAGGAAGGTGACACGTTCCTTAAATGGCAGTAGGTCATTTTCAGTGTTTAATATTTGCAGGATGGAGGATAGAGGAAGGCTATACTTACAAGTAGGAGCTTCCCAGTGCAACCACAGCTTCTCACTGCTGGCCAATGGGGAGCTCCCATGCATGAAGGGTAAAAGTCCTCGCTCAAGGACACCCGGTATCTACAGGAGCTGTGCATTTCCCAGCACTCCTGTAGGCAAAAGCCTCCTGGCCTCCTGATTGTGAGAGGAAGTAATGGGGTCGAGGTGTACCTTATTACTTTGAGCAAGCAGTGTCATCAGTGTCCATAATAATGTCCACAGTGACTCCCAAATAGACATTTCACAGTGTTCACTAACAGGCTGAGCCATGCACAAGCTAACGAAACAGCCCGAGGAAATGATGCAATACTGAAGAGACCGTTGGACACCACCTCTCTTGCCATCAATGTGATTGGCATCACTAACATCTGCAGATGAAATTGATGAAAACTGATTCACAGGTTGGAGAAGCATGACAACACCACCTGCTGTATTATTCAGCCACCTAAAGTGAATAAACAAAAGTTTACGATACATTTAAGAACTTTGGATCAAACTGTTTTATCCACAGTTCACCCAAATAAGTAACTTTGAATTGTCCATCCATCAAAATGCAGCAGCCAGACTTTTAACCTAAGCACAAAAGCATTGTCGTATCTGGTTTATTTTAGCTTCGCTCCACTGTCTGGTTGTGAGTTTTAGAATTGATTTTAAGCTGTTGCTCTGAACTTTAAGGCACTGCATGGTTTGGCACCAACCTGCAATGCTGATCTTCTGAAAAAGAAGTCACCAGCCTGTAGCTTCAGATCTTCTTATGAGGTCTTGTTAGCTGCTGAGGACCGAGGGGGACAATACCTCAACCCTCTGGAATTGTTACTCAAGGAACTCTAGAAACATCACTGTCTGTTTTTAATCATCCTTAAAAACATACTTTTAATGAATGGATTTACATAATATTTTATCTGTTACTTCTATTTCTCATTTATTTCTCAATATTTTTTCATCTATATTCTTCTTTGACATAATGCTGTTTTAAGTTTCTTGCTGTCTTTAATATTATTTGAAACACTTTTAACTGCTGTTTTATTGTGCCATATAAATACAGTCATTAATATTAATATAATGATTAGAATTGTTCTAGAATTTTCATTGTTATCATCATTAATATTACAATAATGGGCCACCACTTTGCAACATAGCATTTGATTTGAGATCAATGATGCCACTGACAAATGGCTGCCTTGTTGTAGAGAGTAGAAGTAGTGGATGTACAGAAGCAGGGATGTGCACCTCTGAGAGGCAAGTGTGATAACATTGCTGACACATGTGCTGTAAACTTGGGAAACATGGCATGTGCACAGCTTTAAAATTCAAGTGTGTGGGCTATAAGGAAAATACAATTCAAGCTAAGGTCATGTAAGCTCTCCCTACACTCAGTCCTGACCATTTACAGCATAGCTACTTACAGACATACACTGAACTTCAGATATCTGAGAACACAAATGACCAGGTGAAAGCATTTGCACTTTTTCCAAATATCTGGATGAAAAACTGTGTCACACACGTAGACAACACAGACGAACATGTCAAGAGATGATGAGGTCAGACGCTGGTGTCAATGTGCTGTAAATGAAAACAAGTGATCTCCGCAGCCTCTGCCTGCTGCGCCACCCCTGATTTTTCTGTTGCCGTGAACACGCCTCTGAGCAGAGAACCTCCTGCTGACTTGTTCATGTTTGAAAGGAAACTCCAGAGAAAGACCCACATGTGCAGACATCCCCTGACAGTTCAAAATTTGTCAGCTGTATGGAAGTAAACTGTGAAGTGGGGAGAGTGGAAAGATACATTAATGAAGCATTTGTGTATTAATTTCAACTATTGGCCACAGTCATTCAACTGTAGATGTAGATTTTAGATTTTTTTTCACAACCAGAGATTCAACAATGTCAGTTTAAGACCAGGCAATCATCAGGAGTGTTAACACAAACAGCACAAATGTACCTGTTGTTTCTGCATTTTGTGGATGACATCGGTGTGTTTAAGATTTTGTGTTGAGATCAGTTTTCCACTCAAGCCTTAGAGAGAACCCAGAGAGCTCCTCTGGAGTATGCTGTACTTACGAGAGCGTCCTCTCCAGCCTGCTTCCGGTCGAGCCGATGATCTCCCCCAACGTACAGAACATCTGACCCAGAAAGTCCTTTACAGAGGAGAAGAGTGAGTGAATACTACACAATACCGCTGAGTGGCACACATGCAGCTCCACATCACTACTACCCATTACTACATCACAAAAGTACATAAATACTATGGAAAACTTAATGTGATATTTTCATTATTCACATGGCCCTTTAATGAGAAGTCTCTGTCTTCATTTACATTCTGGTTTTACAGATTTAACTGTCTCGACATGGCTATGTCACACTGTCATACTAAACTATGCAAAGACATAACGAACGAGGAGAATCTTGTACTGCATTCCCTCTCATTGACTTATACACTCCATCACAGACTCACATGCTTACTTACATTTAACTAAAATACCAGATTATAAGCAGAAGAACTTGTAAATCCACTGGCTATAGTTACGTGAACGTTAAGACCTGGACATATCGAGCTAAGAAGTTGGTTGAGCCACTTGCTTATGTGGGTGCCATTAAAGGTACAGTGTGTAGAATTTAGTGATATTTAGTGTTGAAATTGCATGTTGCAGCTGAACACCCCTCACCTCACCCTCTCCTTCCAAACATGAAAAAGAACCTGTGGTAGCTTCAGTTGTCATAAAAACTCAAAAGGTGTTTAGTTGGTCCAATCTGGACTAATGTAAAAAAAATGGCAGCCTCCATAGAGAGGGTCCCCTTAATGTAAATATAAAGTATTTAAATATAAAGGGCCTTTTCTGGGGTAAAGAAAACTGCAATGTGTACAATTTTCTACAAATTTCTGCCAATAGTTCCCTTTCACCTAAATCTTACACACTGGACCTTTAAACCACTTCAGAAGATGAGGGTGCAACAACAAAGAGCGCCACTTAAATACCAAGCAACGGTGCGGAGACCTTCTTTAGAGCTCCACTTACATATGATGTTTCATGGTCCCAATATAATCTCAGAAGTGCAACAACAAGAGCAAAGTAGTCTTCTAGTGTGTACAGCAGCACAAAGTGCAAACATGCTGGGTGAGATGGAACATATAAACCTCTTAACTCCAAACCACAACACTTTCAGCCTGGTCTCAACACTCTGATCCAGCTGAGCCAATTGCAGGAAAGTATGATGAGAGGAGCTCAACAAATGGGGATGGCGAGGAAGTTTCTGGATGGTGCCAGAGCATCGCAACATGTTGTTCCATGAATCTGCAGCCAGATGCAGACGGAGTTGATTATTTAAATAATCATAGAAACAATTGTTTTGATCCCATGTTCTTAATGGTGACATTGTATCTTAAAATGCCACACCGCTTTTTTTTTTGGATGCATTTCAAGAATAAGTCATGTTCTTAGCTGTACATGTTTTCAAGACAATCTGACAGGATGTCATGACACACATGCAGCAATAATGAGCCCCAGTAATCTGATCTCTACATAAACATCGGTGTGACAGTGTCTGATCTGTGCAGTTAATTAGGGGGGATTTTTCTCTCCACAGTCAAAGTGTTTACTCATCGTAGGTTTCTCTATAATTCTTGACCTTACTATGTTANGGACTATACAAATAAAATTAATTACATTTTCAATCACTCAAGTCAGAGCTGCGCATATCAACATATCTGTTGTGCTGCCTTCAGACAATGTACTCATTAGAGTTTCCATGGAAAGTCACAATAAATCAAGAGCACAGGAGTGGTGATGCATACCCTTCACCTGCTCTTCATACTGCAATCAAAACCTTTGTATGTAGGAATATCATTTCAAAAGGGCATCATCAGGATGCCATTCACACCATGATGAATGATATTGATCTAAATAAGCTGTAGATCATGTGTCTAATGTCTTTGGTTGCAGAAATGAATGTAATACTACCCTATGTGATGTAATTATTTGACTAGCATTATACTGATCAATAATTTTTTTCTCCTGTTGGAACTAAAAGTTTGTTTTGATACCCATTTATTTGGACAGTGTTGATTTCAATCACTTTATTTATTATTCAACTATCATTGCGTTATGTCTGCATATGTTTTGCCAAATATTCACTTCACTCGTTTACAAAATCATCAGAGCTACAGTTGAAAGTAAACTCACTCACTCCCTCACTCATTTAATTCATTTAAATTAAGTGACAGCGCATGAAAAACACAATGAAATCTGATAACGTGATAAAAAACATTTAGCGTTTCCCCAAATTGAATAAAGAACTTAATCGTAGGAGAAAAGAATGTATCTCTGTGGGATTTTAAACCTCAGTCGTAGTCTCTGGGATGAGATCTTCTCACAATCCAGCCCAGATGGTCTATTTTCTGTTCAACAGTGTGACTCCCTTCACTTTCAAATCACTTTCAAAGTCAGATCCTTTAAGCAGCCACAGAAAGAAAGAAACCCACTGAAAGGTCATCCAGCTGTTTGTTTCACATGGCGCTAACTCCTCAACCAAGAATATGTCCCTCAGTAAACAAGACAAAATTAAATAAAGGTATGTAAAGTGATGTCAGCCTACCTTCTGCTCATCCAGACAGGGAGGCAGGAAAGAAAAGCAAACACATGTCAGAGGAAAAGCTGGAAAGACACAATGAAAAAACTTCAAGTTGTTATTAAAATAACACTTTCATTATTCTTTCAGTGTAACAGAGATAAAGGATAATTAAGGCTGTGCAATATTCCACATTTAAAACAAGGATGGAATCACTGTCTTTGCTGCTTAAGTTGTTCTGAGCTGAGGTAAAATATTTTATCATGAANCTGAATCAAACATTATCATAATATTACTTTACAATATGGGCTTGTTTTTGTCTCCCTATGTAATATGTCCTGCTTCATTACCACATTTGCAATTTTCTGAAAGCATATATGACAATAAGATGGGAAATAATGTTCATATTTGAAAATCACACAAGCATTATTTAAAGGCAGGCCGAAAAAGGAATAATTTAAAATATGAATTAGGCAAACTAAATCAGGGCAAGGGAGCATCAATATATCTCTGGATGATAGCTAAGCAGAAATACTTACATTGTACATTAGATTATAGTCTGTATAACATAGGCTGAGTTAATGAATCTTGGCACAAAGATTTGTGAGGGTGTAAAAAAGTAATTAACAGAACGCTAAATTCAATCATATTTCTACATTTTTATTCTGGTGTACTTTGAAGGTAATTTGCAGTTTGGTGACTAGATGGATGGTTGGTGCTCAGTGTGTTGAGCTTTCTGTGTTTGGGGTAAGAGAGCTACAACCCCACAATCCTCAATTTCACTGAAACCAAACGCATTTGTTTTCAGTGCTATCTGTTATTCCTATCGTGACAAGACTAATTATTTGAAGTACAGTAAGTTATTTTTATGGCTTCTTGTCTGTTTCACGCCTCCATTCTGTGTCAATGACAACACTGCTTACGTGTTTTGAAAGGTTGGAGCTCCTGGTATCCACATTGTACCTGCAATCGAACAAAACACAGTAAACCTTAGAATACACACTTTTATCACCTTACATAGGGACACTATAGAAGACAGGAGGAACAGCCCTCAGGACTGTACTGAGACTATATGCAACATACACAATTTTAAATGTTAGAGGTCAGGCAGAATTAAGGGATATGACTGACAAAGCTTCTGTATTAAAGAGTCTGTGTTGAAGTCTTCAGCTCAGGATGCAAAAACCAACATTCAGAAATCAGCACAATGTCATCATTGTCTAGAAGACTTTGAACAGCTGTTACACAATATCCCCGCAGTCACTGATGTTTAAAGTTGTCATACACCATGCAAAATTTTTTATATACAGTTGAAACAATAGTTTGTAAGAGAATGATTTGAAAGATTATTCATGCCCCCGGTTTGTCTGCTTTGTTCTCCCTCCTCTATTCTCTGTAACCACTGCCTTTTTCACAACATTTGTTTTTCTTCTTGTATCCTGCTCTTCCCCAGATCAGCAGGAGATTATTGGATCACCACCTTCTGTACATGAATTCATGGTTCCCAGAAGATAATTTCCTAATATCCTTGGTGAAACTTAATAGCTAACCCTTACTGTCAGTTCAGCACTTCATTTCAGGTCAAAAGGGATTGGTGTGATATTGTGTGGAGCCATTCATGGTCACTAGAGGGTAACGCCAACTACTTTGGGGATTTACTATGAGATACTGCGACATTTACTGGATGGATTGACAAAACTTTACACAGACATTCATGGTCCACAGAAGATCAATCCATAGAGGATGAATCAATAGCATTGTGATCCCAGACTTAATGTCGTAAGTAGTCATTAGAAGCGTTTTAGTACAATTAGTGCTTTCATTAAATCCAATTATTACTAATTTCTTCATTGCACTTTTAGTTTTACTCTTCTCTTTCTCATTCTATTTATTCTTTATTAAACTCTTTCAATTTTGTTATGCTTCTTTTACAATCTGTCATGATGCCTTACATATTTTATGTAAAGCACTTTGAATCATGTTGAAATTAAACAAATAAACTTGCCTTGTCTTGCTAATTAGCATATGTTTGCATGACAACCTTATTATTATTATTATTATTATTATTATTATTTCCAGCTCTATCCGTGACACAACAGCAAGATTTTCTTTTAAAGCTCTTGTTTGTGGCTCCTTTCAAAGGTAGCATGTCAAAAACAGGACAGAACATCAGACAGGTTCAGGGTTGCAGAAACTAAGCGCCTGTGGTTTCACTGCAGGATGAGAGGAGACACAAAATCAATAGATCTGGATGTTTGCAGGACTGGACACACACATTGTGGGAGTGAGTGGTCATTGTGAGAAATCCTCAGACACACACCTCTACTCTATTGCTCGCAAACTGACATTTTATTGCTGTTGGAAAATCTTGATCTGTCTTTGACTTGGAATTACAACAAGCATGTTCACATGCTTTTCACGCTGTCTGCAACTGTCTGTATAGCACTGACCGATATGACACAAATGCAACACATCCACTTATCCAGGCAACAATTACATTTCTACCAAAATTGAAAAAAATATTATGTGGCATTTGTGACAGTGTTCCTCTACCAGACCCTCTTCTCCACCTGCTCTTTCTCTCCTGCTCTCAGCATTTTCTCTCTTTTCTCTCTTCATTCTTCAGCCCTCAGTCTTGCAGAGCTGTGCTGACAGGTGAGGGTTATGCATGGTCAGAAGAGAGAGTGACACGACACTGAAGCATGAAGGGACTCACCAACACATCCTGCATAAGGAAAAGGTGGGGATGCTATAGTTTCAGAATTGATGCACCCCTCTTCTATGGTCATGCTGATTTAGAAGGCATAAAAGAGTTATTTTGGAAAATGAATATAACTACAGTACTCAGTAGAATCACTTCTATTTCCTGCTGGTTTCTGGGTCCATTCTTTTATAGAATCAGTGTTGGGTTATAGGGCCTTGAAGAGGAGGGTAAAAGCTGCAGACTAATAGAACTGAGAGGGAATGTAAGAGAGTCACCATCTAAATATACCACCAACTGTGGCACTGCAGTCTGCCTAAAAGTGCCAAAAGCAGTGCTCTCTGCTATTAAAAAGAGTCACTCCATGACTCCCTACACACACTTTCATTATACTGCAGCTCTATCGTCTATCCTTCAGCTCTATCCAACGAACCACCACTGGTCCACAATCTCTCTGCTCCTCGACTTCAGCTGAAATCTCTCCCACCCCCCACACTCACTTTCTAAGTCTCCTTCTAGAGCAACATCACATTGAGCCCTATGCGCCTGAGCTTGGGTGGGATCAAATGAAATTACCAGACAGCAGGATAAGCCTATGAGCAATGACAAAATGAGATTTGAGTGCGGAGGTGCAAACAGAGCTGCAAAAAAAAATCTAATGACCTTCATTTACATGGCAGGCGGCAGGGGAGCTGGGCTTTGTATCAGAATTGAGAGTGAACAATGAAAACAGTTTGTGTTTCGTCACCCTCATATTTCTTCATATCGCTCCATTCTTTCATTGCTTTGTATTTCTCTGTGCAAGCCACACAGTGGGATTCCAATCAGATGATGTAAAAACTACTGGGGTTTTATGTGGATCGACATCCACACACTGCACGTAATCAGAATCTGTTCTGAGGGAATCAAGGTGTATCATCCTTATACCAGACACAATGAAGATTCTGGTTTATTAAAAACTTGGATGTCCTCTTCTTTTCGGCTTGATGCTGAGAAGTAAGAGCATTATCCCATGCAAAATATGCAGTGAGGTAATTTAAGCTGAATCATATAGTCCCCATGGGGGTGATTAGTGCAGTGGAAACACATCACTGCTATGCAAAATTACAGGCTCCCTGGGTTCTGGCTCTGCAAATCTTCATTCAAAAAACAGTACTTTTAAGTCTCTGGGTAATTCGGGAAGTTTAGTTTAGTTCAATTACTATTTACTACATTTCTAAACTTTTTGTGAGTGGAGCTAAAATTTTGCTTAGTTCGACCTTTAGGGCATGAGGGGAAAGGACTCTCATTAACTATAATGACATTTGTAATATTCAGAGAACGGCATCACAAGATTTTGGCGCATTTGCCACTTTTTCCTCAGCAATTCCTAACAAACTGAAGGTGTGTTAGTGAACATTATATTTTTAAATTTACATTGTAAATCTGTCCATGACACAAACAGCAGGTTGGCAGGTTGGCAGGACTTTAAAGAAAGATGCATAGGGATTGATTTAACAAAGCGTGCATCAAAATGTAACGGTTGTCATGATGTGATTTACATATTCTCCTTGCTTTGTGGATGAGGCCTTTTTTATTCATCATTCAAGTCTGGAAACAGCAGAGTGCATTGCACATGTAAAGTTTAATTACACACCACTGCTCGTTTGTTTTGGTCTGATTCGTTCCTTAAGGGTTCAGAAACAAAATGACCAACAGCCTTAATTACATTTTTCTACAATAACCCATGATTGCAGCACCTGTGCTAAGGGAATTAGCCCTCTCGGCTATAGGTTCATACTCTTTTAGAATAGCTGGTATTTGTTCAATTCTCAAGTGGATCTTTGATAAGCTCACAATACCACAGGTTTAGATGATGCAGCAGTTTCCTTTAGCTGCTATGTTGTGTCTTGCTTACTCTTTGTAAAAATACAAACTCACATCTCCTGCCCTCCTGACCCACACTTTTTAGATTCACCTCATTGTAGAGGCACATCACTGACTCTGTTGTTTTAGTTCAATATGTGTTAATAACCCGAATAACAGGTTTTTGAGTTTGATCATCAGGTCTGAGACACTAAACAACATTTATGTTATTATTATTATTGTATTTGTTGCTATATTAATTATGTCATTCTATTTTTAGCTACAAACAGTTCTTTGTCTCCACATGATTAGATTGACTTGTTGAATGGCAGCAGCCAGTATGGAACATGTTGTTTAGTAGCATTAGAAGGAGCTCGGACCTGTGGCAGATTTGATCAAGATTTCATTGATTTTTTATAACCAAAAAATATCCAATGAAAACTGTGCCAAACTGTACTGACCCTATCTACCCACTGATCACATAAACTTCTGTGTGTCTGTATGTGGAACCAATATCTACCGAAATGTTCGTCTTATGGACTTCACACTTGACATGAGTATTCTTTGTGGTCCTGTAGTGCGGAGACAAATTTGGTGGGATTTGGACACGGGACGCGTTTTAATAGATTTTAAAAAACACGCAACCAGCACACTGTAGCAGTCAGTGGGGGTGAGACTGACATGTCTTCTTTTGGTCTACAACTGTGTGTAACCCGCAGGTCAACATCACCACCACAACATTTTGATTATTTGATAATTTTTATTTTCCCATATGGAACACATCAAGGCTGATCTCTGTCATGGCAACAACATTGACATAATCACTTCCTGTTGTATAAACCCAACTCAGAAAAAGTATGGATAGTACGGGAAATGCAAATAAAAAAAGACAGCAGTGATTTCTAAATTAAATTTGACTTGTATTTCTTTGCAGACAGTATGAACATAAGATATTTTATGTTTTGTCTGGTCAACTTCATTTTATTGGTAAATATACATCCACTCCTGCCATTCAGGCCTGCAACACATTCCAAAAAATTTGGGACGGGGGCAATTTAGGGCTAGTGATGAGGTAGAATGATTTAAAGATGAAGTGATTTGAACTATGTGATGTCAACAGTTGTAATTAAGACTTCATACAAAAGCAGCATCCAGGTAAGGCCTAGTCCTTAAGGAGCAAAGACAGGCTGAGAATCGCCAACGAATGTGTGAGAAAATTATTGAAATGTTTAAAACCAGTGTTCCTCAAACAAAGATAGGAAGTGATTTGGATATTTCATCCTCTAGAGTGCGTAACAATAGTAAAAGATTCAAGGAATCTGGAGGAATTTCAGTGCGTACAGGGCTCAAGCCTAAGCTGATTAACCGTGCTCTCCGATCCCTCAGACGACACTGCATCAAGAACCATCATTCATCC